AAAAAGACCACTTCGGTGCCGGTTCGAGGCCATCCGTTTACCGCGGGGCATGATGCCCTAAACACACGTTGCTCAGTAATCATATCATGATGCAAGGGACGCCGCCCTCGCAGTCCAGCTTTAAGCTTAAAAAAAAAAAAAAACAAGGGTTGTGGGAGAAAAAAACAGTTTTGCTACACTGTGCCACATTATTGGTCTTTGGCCTATCTCAGTTGGTACACCCATCAACAGTTGAAATACTCCAGATAAACATGACCAGATGCACAGTATCCAGCACCTCTGAATCATTCTCAAATTTGAATTACCTACCTGGCAACAAGGCCAGGGAACCAGACTGCAACCCCCAAACACTGTCACCTTGCTTTTTTTTTGTCATTTCCAGCTAAATACACTTCTCCTCCTCCTCCTCAAAAAACAAACAAACAAACAAACATGTCCTTTCGCTCTTTTTCTTCTTCTTTTTCTTGTCTTCTGATTACTGTCATCTCCAGCTAAAAGCTATAGAATCTGATTCTATGGGTCTACTGACTCTCAGAATCTGATTCCATGGGTCTAGTATCTCTCGTTGCACCATCATCCCTACTCTCGGATTTCCGAGACTCCCGCCTCGCTCCACTCGCGAACCCAAAACAAAATACGGACGGACGGAAAACCCTTTCAAGACTTGTTAAACAGAACTCAAACAACGGTTTTGTTCGAGAGTATTCGAGAGTCACCCGGGTTCAACTCTCAACAAGGTTCAAAAGAAGTCCACCGTGCTCTCAGTGGGACCACATTTTTCTTTCGATAGAAGAACTGGAACCGGATCCGACAAACCCGAGGGGGAAACATGCGGGTAGCAAATACTAGCCATGTCGGGCAATACTCTCCCAAGTTTGGCAGTCCCGCGTTCGAGAGCCAGCGCAGCAAAGACCGGCTATTCCGGGTTTTCGAGAGAGTCCGACAGCTCCGAAAACTTCAGCGAAAAGGGACTCGTGATAATTTTTGAGAGTCGAGAAGCAGTAATGGATAGAGACCCTGACCGATGTCGGGCAATACTCTCCCAAGTTTGGCAGTCCCGCATTCGAGAGCCAGCGCAGCAAAGACCGGGTATTCCGGGTTTTCGAGAGAGTCCGACAGCTCCGAAAACTTCGGCGAAAAGGGACTCGTGATAATTTTTGAGAGTCGAGAAGCAGTAATAGATAGAGACCCTGGGCGATCTCGAGTAATACTCTCCCAAGTTTGGCAGTCCCGCGTTCGAGAGCCAGCGCAGCAAAGACCGGGTATTCCGGGTTTTCGAGAGAGTCCGACAGCTCCGAAAACTTC